CTCCTATATATAATAAAAAATGAAAGTACACAGAGAAAATCTTAGAGACAGCCTCTTTTTAAATCTAGTTTTAACTAAAGGTGATGACGTGATTGAAGGTTTTTTCTGCCATTTACCAGCTTGAGCAGTGCCTTCTCAACCATATATTATATATACTGTGTTGAAACCCTTCCCTCTTCTTTGCTCCCATTTTAAATTTGTAACAGAGGAATATATTGATTTAAAATTTATTTTAATGGCTGAACTGTTCTTTTGTCCTACGTACTCCTTTTATGTCTAATGATTGATACATTGATGACAAATACACCATGAAACCAAAATTTGACTGGTTCACAGGTGTGCAGCACATTTGCCTTTGCTTTGTCCTACCTGCATTGGATGTGACAATAACACTATATAACTATGCAGCATTGAGAGTGTTGATGGCCTATGCCCAGGCAGATGTGTTACACAGTACCAAAAAAGGTGAAAAGAAAAATGTGATATTCAAGAGAATGCTGAAGGTGATTTTTCTCCCAGTGTGTTAGTTGTTTTGTAACTAAACAGGTCTGCTTGTTTAATTTTTGATAATACTTGGATGCATACTAATTATAATTTATAAACCAGGGAACAACAACCAAACCCTTTGAAAAATATTCAACATATTGCTATTCTATGATCTGAAAACAACAGACTAGCTCTGTAACAAAAAGAGCAACAGTATCTCTAATGTGGGTTCAGAAAAAGGACAAAGAACAAAGGAGCAACACAATCATCTGACACATGACCTTACCTATTAAGGTACAAGGAGGCTGCTTTTAAAATGCTTTCCTCCCCTGCCTCTGTGAAGGGTTTAGGCTGCTGGTGTGCAATGTAAAATGATGTGATGTGAAGTTGGCTTTACGTGTTTCTCCACAGCCCAGAACAGTCCTGAAGGCAGCAAAGCATGAAGGCAGGCAGAAAGGTCTCAGATGTGGAAAGGAGTTTGACCTTGTGCATACAGATAGAAGGCACCGGGGTTGGAGTTACAACAGAGAGACGATTTCGACTTTCATTTCATGACCAGCGCTACTATTTCATCAAGTCTCCTTTTCATAGTTTCAAGAAAGTGATCCTTCTTCCACATCAACAGAGGAGTTTTCATTGCTAAAGGTTCAATGAAGAGTTTTGTACTTGAGTACTGTTAAATTGAGTAAACTGAAAAGGTGTTGGCCCCGGCTCAGCAGGACACTCTTGTTGAATCATGTTTGATGTCCTGCGTTCACCTCAAAGGGGGGCAGGTTGACAGTGCCATGCCTGCGTTGAGAGACTGCAGAAGCAAGCGAGAGCCTGTGCTGTACAGTACTGAGAATAAGAACAAAGCACTCAATGACACAGAGGAAGGAATAACAATGAGTGCTGTGCCGCAGTGTTATGTGATTCTACCGTGAACAAAGACGCCGAGTGTGGCAAAGGGGTTGTGTGTGCGCGTGTGCGGTTTTGGGATTATTATCAGAGCACGAGGAGCATGTACTGTATATATCATTTCACTAATTACCGTTCCGTGCTCTAATTACAATGCAGCAGGGACACATTCAACTCTTAGATCCTTGCTTATGTAAAATCTCTATAGTGCTTCTGTTGTCAATCACACACATACACACACATACACACACACACACACAAACAGAGGAAAAAACGTGTTTCTTCTTCTCCCTGTCTTCCTTTTGAAAATCCGATCTGCTCCCTGTGCTCTCCATACAGCTGTCACTCCTCTCTTCATCCTTTGCCAGCATTGCCTTGACTCATCTTTGCTAAAATGTCTGGAAAGCAATACCAAAAAATGAGACAAACATATTTGAATTCTGAGAATAAGTTTCTGAGAAAAGAAAGTCGTGAAATGTTGTGGTCCCTCAAAATGACAGTTGTTTTGCTGATTTAGGAGACCCAATTTATGATCTCCACGAAAGAGGATTTAATCAACATGTAAAGTATGCAAAGTTGATGGTCCACTGCAGTTTTTAGGGATATGGGCAGCCAGCTTTCTGCACATTTTGTTAATTTTATTCTGAAGATGCTGACCTGAGAAGTGGGGCTACAGATATTTGTCATAGCAAATACCTTGAAACACCTTAGTGGTAGGCACAGTTCTTGATAATTCATATTACGGTTCAGGACATACCAGATAATGAGTGGACAGCAAGAGTGCATATATCTCACTGCACAAACACGAGGGGGAAAAGCCTGTATAACTCACTTTACATCCCTGTATTAATTGGTGTGGAAAAAGAGCTTTCTCTGGTTTGCTTTTACGTACTTTAGTCTAAAATGGCAGTTTTCACCACAAAGGACTGGACAATAACTGCCAAAAGTACATGCAATTTAAAAAAACATTGCACAGAGAAGGCTAACTCTGTCATTTTTGATTAACTACTAAATTGGAGTCGGGAATTTGGAGGCATAAATACATTCATTTATATGCACATAACTTAGAAAACTGCTAAGAAGTGCATGTTGGCTGAAAGGCAACAATGTACCACAAAGGAATCTCAGTTTGCCGCCACACTGCTGTTGTGTACAGAACCATAAAAGCCACAAGTACAGAAGTCAGCATGACTAGATTTTTTTTCTGCAGGTCTGTTATAATTTAACCTAGAATTACTTTACTACTTTATCTCAAATCCAGTGTGTCTCATTGCAAGGTTTTTATTTAATTCTACATCAGCCCAATTCAGTGATTATTACCAAGCACAAACATGTCTAAAGATGGCGATTCTCCAGGTTATTAGTCCACTCTTATCTCTTCAGGCTGAATTAAAATTCACAGAATATCCTGGTGCACACCCAGGAGCCTGGCTCAAGGAGCAGATCCTGGTGCCCTCATTGCCTGTGGGTCAGGTTTTCACTAATCAAAAAGACCCACGAGGATTCTTACAGAATCACTATTTGTCTGACCCCTCATCTAAGACCAGTTTGGGTCTCCCTGTTATATCCCGGCTTTCTGAGGCTCACAAACCTCGCCACCATAACCAGTGGTGGACAAAAAAATATATATATTAGTAAAAGTAAGTAAAAGTCCTGTATTAAAAGTTCTACTGAATTAAAAGTACAGAAGTATTGCCATTACTAAATGTACTTACTGTAAAGTATCAAAAGTGAAAAGAGAAAAATGACCCCTGTGACTGATATATTATTACACTGATTTGATTGGGGGTCGTCGTCCACTTATCAGAAGGTCAGGTGGTTCGATCCCTGGCTCCCCCAATCTGCATGTCGAAGAATCCTTGGGCAAGATAATGCACCCCAAATTGGTGTGTGTGTTATTTACATAATGTGAATAGGTGGGTGTGAGGTAGTGTAAAAGCGCTTTGAGTGGTTGAAAGGCTATACAAGTACACACCATTTACCATTATTAGTACTAATGCATCAATGTGTGGTGGAGCCAGTTTACCTACTTTATATACAGTCAGACACTGCTTTTTTGTAAGTGGGTCATCTTTACAATGCAGTGTAAGCTTATTGGATGTTTTGTTTATGGTAAAATCTTAATTTAGTAACTATAGCTGCCATATAAATGTAGGGACGGCAAGAAATATTTCGCACTGAAATGCAGTGATGTAGAAAAATAAAGTAGCTGCAGCTTTATTACTGCTGGATCATCATTCCACATCTCATCTATAACAATAAGATGGGTGAATGGTGAATGAAAAATGGAGATAACCTGTACAGGCACTAAAATGAGGCTGCCTGCGCAATGAGCTTACTTTACACAACATGGTGAGAAGCTCAGCAAATTGAGGATTACCTCCAAGTCAATCTGCTGCTTTCTCTGCATTGGGGGAGTCAGCTGAGGTTTCAACACCTTATAAAGCCGCCATACAGATGTCATTGCTCCAGCCAGGCACTACTGAGTAGATCCAGGATATACAGAAAGGCCTTTATCTCCCAGATGACCTGCAAATCCCTGCGCATCACCCAGGAGGAGCTGGAGGAAACTGATAGGAAAGGCAGATGCAGGGTGATCCTAGTCTAAATATCCAGCTTTACATGTATCCTGATCTACCCAGTAGAGCTTCCTCATTTCTCTATTAGCTGACCTGACTAGACAGTAATAAACTGGATGGAATGATATTAACATTGTTATTGCACATACCGATAAGTCACCATTTTAGAGCCTTGTTAAAATAAATCTAAAAGGCTGAACTGGCAACGAAGTGGAACCACAGCAGGTCCATTCAGTCTAATATATTGTTCTGGTGTGTTGTGTCTGGGGGTTTGGGCATTTGCATTAGGGGTGAAAACTTTACACCTCATTAGCCATCACCACGTATTCAGGTAATTTGGTAGACCTGCAGGAAAAGACAGGTTAAACATGACATGCTAGGATCAACAAGATTACCTGTTAATCTAGTGAGAGTCTGCCCTTTAAGCTCACCATAAGATACTAGCAAAGCCTGTGCTATGACAAGTATGACTCAGTGTGGTGGTTTGCTCTCCCAAAACAAAACCTTCTGTGCCATCTAGTGACCAAAAGCTGATGGCACCATTTCTAGACAATGCCAATGGAGGGCAGCATTTGTTTGTAATTGTGAAGTATTTTGTACCTGGAGAGTTGTTGGGTTGAGGCAACTGAAAACTGCTTTTTCACCCAAAGCCATGTATTATAAATCATCAGAACAACAGGAAATTGATGGAAGGCAATGTGCAGCGGTCCTCTATTAATCAAAAACTGCTAATGAGTTGCCCTCGAACAAGGCGCTTAACACACAACTCTGCTCCGGCAGAGCTGCTCAGTGGTTAACAGTGGCTGTATGTACAAGATGTAGGGTAATAGTGGAAATGAGCGTTAAATGAAGGTGAACAATGTTTTTATGTTATCTATTAAAATTAAAAACCTTACACATCCATTTTAATCAGTTTCATTAAACATGCTGAAGCATTTTCACCACTTTCTGAATAGCAGAAGTTTTACTGATTTTAAATGATCACCGTGTTGTTGATTATATATATTTTTTTAAAACAAGACAAAAACACAAACAATACAAAGGCTCAGTTCTTTATTACCATACATCTGAAAATGACACAAACAGTAATATCAAAAAGCTTGAAGTTTCCAGCAATCTGATACTGTCAGTGACACACATTCACAGTTTAGGCACAGTGTGATTTCACTGTTACCATGAACATTTTAATAGGAGGACATTACTGTTTCAAGTCATTCTTTCCCTGCACAGTGAGGGACATGTTTGAGTTTGGTCTTGCAGCTATTTATTTTTGGTCACCAGGCAGAGTTGACAACCTGACACTTTTGCTCTCAATGACTACAAACCAGTGACTGTGTGACGTTACTGTTACATGTTGAACAGAATCATTCAGTTTGAGTCAACATGTGCAGTGACATAAATGTCTGGACATGTAACACTACATCTCATGACACCTAACATTGCTCCCATTTATAGTCTTACCACACACATAACCAGAAAACATAGTGTTAAAACTAAGAACTATGAAAAACATAGTGAAAACTTATGAAAAACATAGTGAAAACTTAAACATATCTCAGTTTCGACACCTAAATTAGCGTAAATACATACTCAGAAGCTGACATCTTTTCAAGTTAATGTACATACAGTACATCACCTCACACGTGAATATCGACATATACGTCACTGAACTACAAAAGAACTTAAAGTCACATCACTGTGAATTAATTATCAGTATGCATGGTTAGTGTGAGTGGTAGGAAAAACCATAAGGCAGTTCTTGAGAGGTAACCTCTATATGAAAGTTGTTAAACACCAGGAGCGGGTCAGAGGTTTATTATTCAGGTGGAGGTATCTGCAACAAGCAACAATGTAGTGCCAGTATCTGATCTGTGCCATTAAAAGGCCAGACATTATGGCATAATGAGAAACAGTTTCACTTGTAAATAATGTTGGATTGATTTGTGCCCGTATTGCTTATCCCAGAAGTTAATTCAACCTAGCTTCAGTTTCTGATCACGTGAGATGAGTACTGAGGAGAGACGGGCAGGCTGTGCTGGTAGACTCAGTCGGTTTTGGTTGAGTCAGTGGAGTATTCTGTGGAGGTATCTCTCTGGGTTGTTTTCTGCTCCTCTCCTCAGTCCAGAGCTAGTTCTAACTGGTCTTTCAGAAGTCCCTACAGGGCCCTGGCTCTCAGTTAGCACCACTGTGGCCCCTTTACTGCTTCCTGTTGTCCCTAGAGAGGTGTGTCGGTGTGGCTTTGGACTGATGTCTGCTTCTGCCTCAGAATCATTCTCCTCCCCAGCATCCTTTCCCTGGCTGCTCGGCGAGCTCTCCCCAATCCTAAACAACATAAAATAGTTTTGTTGAGAACAACATGGATACCAAGTGAAACTATGATTAATTTTTGCATGTATATGAAGTCATAAGGTTAGCAGTTTTTCTACCTGAGGTGATTGAAGGCTCGTAGCCAGTGAGAGCCCAGCACATCTTTCCCGTTGGTCCTAAGCCCTCTCTTGTGACTCCGAGCCCTCAGTCCTACCAAGGCCTGAGCCAGTTCAGCCTCATCTCCGTGGCCCCATACCACCTGGGCCCTCTGCTCTGCATCCTGGTCCCCCGCAGCTGTGAACAGTCTCTGGAGCTGCCACAGATTCACGTTGCTGAAAATGTTCCCTGTGCCAGCCTTCCTACTCCTCCTCTCAGCCAGCCGCCACAGCGAGGAAGGGCCCGCCACCATGGAGGCAGGAGTGGAGGCGGTTCTGGTATCCATTCTGGAGAAACACAGGAAAAGGTGGCATACACTGGCTCTGCTCTGTGGAGAAGTCAGAGAGAGTTTCCACTCATTATGATGGAAGATGGACAAAAAACAAAACAGAACACAACATGTAAAGTAAATGAGCACAGACTGCGTCACAACTCCTACAGACAGCTGTCACGGCTGAAAAAAAGCCAGTCAGCTGCGAGGCTGATTCTTTAATCCTACTTTAGGAAGTGAGTGACGAGTTGTGCTTTAAAGCCCATTAAACTGCAGATGGAAACGTCATCTCTCTTTACTCACACATGGTTTTAAGTAGGACACTTTGTATTAGCGGAGTGAGTGACCAAGATCATGATTACATGCAGGTCACCACCAGCCTTTCCACTGGAATGACTTTCAGCTTGACAAAATAAGTAAAAAAAAAGGTCCACTTACTAGCTTTCTCTAAAGCTTTCAACAGCTGTGCAACACAAAGATGGAGTTTGCACAGATAAACTACTCCGAGGAAGATTATTTGGTAAAATCCACCATTTACTAGATCAGGAATAAAGTTTCACACTTTCTTTTAGTTGAGCATCATTCTGCAGGTTCTCTCTGCCCATAGAGGACTAAATATTTTACTTTCTTCCAAAACGCACTTTTAACATCCATGTCCTATATTTATTATTATTTATTTTTTATTTTTACACAGAAGAGGATTCCATAAATAGAAAAACAATACACTACATGACACTCACAATCCACTTACAAGCAAGAATTTAAATGGCGGTGTGTATAACTCTGAGACAGCAATTGGGTCATTTGAGGACGCTCTACAGAAACCTATTCATTGCAGTAGAAGTAGTTAAACATTAACCCCAATGTCACAGGCTTCTCAATTATTTCCCTCCCGCGGATGTCTTGACAGCCACAACTGTTACGGCTCAATGATGAGATCCCGGTGTCGTGCCGAAAAGTGATGTTTGGTAGGCCTATGTGTAATATCTTTGTTTATATTTGGAAAACGGGCTGTAGCCTAATTAACATGACTTACTGCCAACTTACATATAAAATGAAGACAATTTTGTAATTATCCTTATGACTCTGCATTATTTTACTTGCTGTGTAGGCCTACCATCCACTCTTTTTTACCTGTTAAAATACCTTTAAATGGCCAATACAACTCAGAAAATGCAGAAAATGATTGAAGCCTTTTGTTATTGACTGAAAGGTTATTTCTGCCCTGAAATTAGTTGATTATAGCTCACCTAGTACTTTTTACCTCTTAGAATACCTTTAAATGGCCAATACAACTCATAAAATGCAGTAGGCTAATTCACTTGCCAGAAAGTGATTGAAGAGACTGGGCAATACAGCTCCAGCAGACGGCAATCAGTTTTCGGCAGACGATCAAAGCTTTGTGCTATAAAGATGATTTATAGCCTACTGGCTTTTTAAAAAGTTTATCTGTAATATAAGATAAATACAATGCAACGATGGAACTTACTGGTTACTCCGTGCTGGGTTTCATTAGGCAGTGGCTAAAAGGCAATAAACAGGAATCCCGTGAGGGTCATGTGAAAAAGGTTTGCTTACCCGAAGAACTGATATATTCAGTACACTTTGCTTCTACAGCATCTCCCTCTGCGCATTGCTGATCCTTTGCAATGAAAGTTCTCACAATGGCTGATCCGTCGCAGGACAGTCTGTCTGTCCTGCTTCAACTGCGATCAATTTCTATCCTGGAGCCGACTGTCAATCACAAATCAATGACGTTAAAACGACCAATGACGAAAGAGAGCTCTTCTGGACCCTCCTGCTGTGGTTCGGAAAGAGATTGATTTCGACCAATCACGGTCGAGAAGACAAGAGGGGAGGAGGGGGGGAGTTCGGCTACACCCCTGGCCACGTAGGGAAGCCATTGACGTCAATGAGTCAGGCTGGCACGAGAAGGTCTGTGAGTCGTCAGTGAGGTTAGCAACATGCGAGCATTCTATGCTGAAACGTGTAAACAAGATGACGCATCTAAACATCTGGGCTATATGAACAGGTCTAATATTATTACACACACACACACACTGTTTCTTTTTTAGGTTTTATTAACCGTGCGAGAAGAGAAGCAGGCTTACAATCCTGGCTTCAGTTAAAGAAACAGAAATATTGTCTACAAACTTAAAGCATGGAAGCCTGAATTATTTTTTGCCCAAATCTCTACATGCATTTTGTCTATGGAAGCCTACAGGGGACTATATTACATTATGATAATGTAAACTTGAAAATGTAATACTACAATAGCACTATAATTTTACACATATGAAGGCAATGATTGATGTATTTTACTTAAGTCTACTGTTTATTGTTGTCCTGCATGTTTGCATGTCACAAAAGTAGGTTGTGTGTTGTTGCTTCCTGTTATTTTCAGCTCTGTCTAAATGGTGTCTGCTGTTACTCTACTGATGTTTTACTGTTTCTGGATGTTTCGCTTGGCTTTTGTTGTGTTTTTCAGAATTCCTGTTTTGTTGTTGTTGATGTTTTTGCTTTTACAGTGTTTCAGTATACTTGTCAGAATCAGAATCAGGTTTATGGCCAGGTACATTTTTACATACGAGGAATTTGCCTTGGTATAAATTGGTGCTTACAGTAATAATAATAATAATAATCTTTATTTGTAGAGCACTTTTCAAAAACAAGTTACAAAGTTCTTTAACAAGTGTAAAGACAATAATACCCAAGAGACAATAATACAAAAACAATACAAGATAAAAGCATGAAAACATTGAAAAGACTAAAATACACGTTAAAGTAAAATACAATAAAATAAAAGGGATAAAATAAAGTCAAATAAGATCGGGAAAGGCTCTCCTATAAAAGTACGTTTTAAGAAGGGACTTAAAAGAGTTCACTGACTCAGCCGACCTGATTTCCTCGGGCAGGCTGTTCCAGAGCCTCGGGGCCCTGAGAGCAAACGCTCTGTCCCCTTTAGTTTTCAGTCGAGACTCTGGAACAGACAACAGACCTCTGCCCGAGGATCTCAAGGTGTGTGCTGGTGTGTATGGGACTAAAAGTTCAGAAATATAACAAGGCGAGAGGCCATGAAGAGCTTTGAAGTGATCAATAAAATGTTAAAGTCAATTCTAAAATATACAGGGAGTCAGTGTAATGAAGCTAAAATAGGAGTAATGTGGTCATATTTCTTTGTTCTGGTTAAAAGCCTGGCAGCTGAGTTCTGGACAGTCTGGAGTCGATCAATAGATTTTTGGGTTAAACAGGTGAAAAGGCTGTTGCAATAATCCAGGCGTGATGAGATGAAGGCGTGTAAAATGGTCTCGGTGTCCTTAAAAGTTAACATAGATCGAATTTTTGCTATATTTCTAAGTTGATAAAAACATGATTGAACAAGCTTTGTGGTGTACTGCTCGAAATTTAAATTACTATCAAACCAAACACCAAGGTTCTTTGCCACAGGCTTAATGTGATTTACTAGGGAACCAGCAGATTGCAGTATTTGATTTGCCATCTGCTGAGACCCGATGACCAGGATTTCTGTTTTGTCTGAGTTCAGTTGGAGGAAATTATTTGACATCCATTTTTTAACTTCACAAAGGCAGTCGGTAAGTGAACTCAGCATTCCAGGGTCTGTGGATCTGACGGGCAAGTATATTTTACCATACCATTCTAGGGCAGTACCAGAGATCCCCACCCAGTGCCTCAGTCTGTCTAACATGATGTTGTGATCAATGGTGTCAAAAGCAGCGCTAAGGTCCAGGAGTACCAGCACATGCCTTCATCAGCAGACATTAAAAGGTCATTGGTGACTTTAAGCAGGGCAGTCTCAGTGCTGTGGTACTTCCTGAAACCAGACTGAAACCTTTCAAATAATTTGTTATTTTCCAGTACAGTGAGCAGCTGTTTGGACACAATTCTTTCTAGAATCTTTGCAATAAAAGGCAGTTTTGAAATTGGTCTAAAATTTTGTGGTAGGGAGGGATCTAAACCAGGTTTCTTTAAAAGTGGGTTCACGTAAGCTGTTTTAAAATAATCAGGGACACAACCAGTAGATAGGGAGCTGTTGAAAACAGAGATCAAATGGGGCCCAACAGAATCCATTACTTTCAGTAAAAATTTTGTAGGTATCACATCAAGTGGGCTGGAGGACACTCTCATTTGTGATACTGTTTTTAAAAGCACAGACAAGTCGATGGGATAAAACTGGTTAAAACTCTGTTGTTGCTGGTGAGGGACCTCTGAGTAAGAGGCAGTGGGGGTAATAGAGGCTCTGATTGACACCACCTTATTGGTAAAATAAGATAAAAACAATTCACAGTCATCATTACTTCCAGCTGAGGCACAAGGAGGGGTTGGGTTTACCAGCTGATCCACAGTCTTAAACAGAAACCTGGGATTGTGTTTATGTGTAGTAATGAGTTCAGAAAAATAGTGTGTTCTCGCATCCTAAACCATGTTATTGTAGTTAATTAATAAATCCTTCAGACTGAGGTAATGGACTTGGAGACTGGATTTTTTCCATCTGCGCTCTGCTTTCCTGCATTCCCTTTTGAGGCTGTGAATGTTGTCATTTATCCAGGGTTGCTTACTAGCTTTAGACGTAGGCCTAACCTTTAGAGGAGCAGTAATATTTAGTGACGACAAGCAGATATGATTGAAGTGATCGACCAGATTGTTGGTGTTGGAATCAGACAGGTGTTGGCTTTGGCTCTGAAAGAATGCGCAAAACTTTGAAACACTTTGTTCATTAAAGATGCGAGAACACACAGGGCTTGGTGAGGCGGCATGAGTAACAGGCAAATCACAGCTAAAAACAATACATCTGTGGTCAGATATGGTCAAGTTCACTAATTCCACAGAGGAAATGCTGACACCCAGGGTAAAAACCAAGTCCAGTGTATGACCACGGTTATGTGTTTGCCCTTTGACATGTTGTTTGAAGTTAAAAGAAGTGGCCATATTTAAAAAGTCAGTTGCATTAACATTGTTGGGGTCATCAACATGAATATTAAAATCGCCACAAAGAACAATTCTGTCATAATTTAAAACCAGAGTAGATAAAAATTCAGGAAGTTCTGATAAAAATCCTCCAGGCGGTTTTGGGGGGCGATAAATTATAACAAATATGATAGGTTGCAGCCCTCCAGCTGTAAGAGTGAGAACTTCAAAGGAGTTAAATTCATCACAGCGTACTTGATGACATTTTAAATATTTCCTATACACGCTCACTAGCCCTCCACCACGACCACTGACCCTCGGTTGACTAAAACAATCATATTGAGGCGGACACAGTTCAGCTAGCTGGCTATAGTCATTCATTTGCAACCAGGATTCAGTTAAAAACATAAAATCTAGATTTGCAGACAAGATAAAATCATTTAAGATAAAAGTCTTACTTGACAGTGATCTCACATTGAAGACAGCCATTTTAAATGAGTTTGTTCTAGGTGCTGGAGTTGGTGCAGTTGTCCTAATCCTTAAGAGATTACTATTATTTCTGTGTGGGATGTGCACATTTCGGTTTACTGTTCTATGCGTGATGATGACAGGAATAGAAGTCTGTGGAACAGCGCTGGGAGCAGACGGATTTACATGCCAGCAGGTGGAGACAGTTCTTAGTGGCAGTGAGGCAGAGATCTGTTCAGTGAGCGGTGGTGTGTCCAGGTGTGCTGCATGAATGATTAGTCATTCACGTAAGTCCTGAGAGGACCGCACCACATGCTGTATGTGAGCAGCTAAAATTTCTGAGCCCCGTTTGTTTGGGTGAAGTCCGTCTGTCTTAAAAAGAGACATTCTTTGCCAGAAAATATTAAAATTATCCACATAACACACGGTGAGCCCTGCAGGCGAACTGGAGCCAGTCGTGGAGGTCAAGGAGTCTACTGAAGCGGCCAGCACCGCGACCATCTGTGGGAATGGGACCAGAGATAAAAACGGACTTTCCACACTGCTTTAAAAAGTTAAGAAGACGGTTAAAATCTGATTTTTTCAGCTCAGATTGCCGAAGAGCTGTGTCATTTGTTCCGACATGGACTATCACTCTTGTGATGGAGGACGGGAGCGACGGCATTAGGTCCTGGAGTTTTTTTTAAATGTCAGCTGTGGTGGCACCGGGGAAGCAGGGAGTGGTAGCGTTAAAGAAACGCATGTTTCTGGTTATGGAGTCACCAATTATTAGTGTGGTTGGGGAGAAAAGAGGACGAGGAGATGCCAGTTGTGGGGTTCCAGAGCAGGACTGAGCAGAATCTGCTTCAACACTGCGTGCGGACTGAGGATGGAGTGTGTAAGCTGCCGAGTGTTGTGTTGGAGTAGCAGTAACAGACCTGAGAGAAGGGCTACCGGACGGTGCAGGGTGGAGACGGCCTCCGGAGCGTCTGAGCACAGCCTCCTTCAGAATCCTACATCGGGAAGCGGAGGTTTTTGACCGGGATGACGGCCGCCGATCAGGCCCAGTGGCAGACCGGCGGCCCAGTGCAGGAGATGTAGCCGGTGAAGAAAATGCAACAGTGTCGGCAGGCACCGACACTGTTGCATCTCCTCCGAAAGAGATCGGTATCAGGGAGACTCGAAGCCCCAGGTGCATCCACTGGTTGGACCGGAGTGTCGTCAGACAGGGCTGCATAGCAGTTGGAGAGGCCGATGTGCGGAGGAGAGGCAGCCCCATCCGAGCCTCTCTTGCAGCCACGGACCACCACTTCAGCCCAGGTTGACTGATGCTTCCAAGTCGAGCAGGAGGAAAGCCTGGGAA